TTGTGTGTGTGTGTGGTGTGGGGGGGGGGGGGAGAGGATAGCCTCTGAGAATGTGTATTTTGGAGCCATACATTTTACTGCTGGGTTTTGGCTGTTGCCAAAAGTTGTCACTTTCTCAGTGGAGGTTTAAGAAATTGTTTAGAAGACGTGGCTATGGTGAGATATTAAGAACGTTTGTGACTTTCGAAGCAATTTATTCAGATTTAATGTGTTTAATAATCTGTGTAATTAACTCAATTGTAATCTCTCTCCAACAATTTTGAAAGGGGGAAAACACTTTTTAAAAGATGTTACAAGATTTCTTTTCGCTCATATCTTTTGTGGTGGTTTTGTGTCTATTACATGTTGCCACTTAAGATTTTCCGTTAGTCTTTGTGCTTTAGCAGTAATATTACGCAATCTTGGGGAAACTCTGGGCCCACTGAAGTGAATGTGAGTTTTGCCACTGACTTCACTAGTCAGGATTTTATTCTGAGTTTACCTTGCCATGAATTTGGTTCTCTTTTCTGAGAAGCAATCGTGAGTATAGCATAGCAGCTTCTGTTGCAATTTGATTTTTTTTTTAACTACAGTTTTTGCAAACCTTTATCTGCATGATTTGTGGCAGGTTTTCATTCTCATGTGAATGTGTTTAGCAATGCCAAATATGTATGTCTAAGAATACTATGACAAGACTCTAAGAAAAGCTTTCGGAATCCATCGCGGATTATTAGAATAGATTTTGGGGGTTGGGGATGATTTTTTGGCCTGTGGGACTTGCCTCCAAACTAATTGGAAACGGGGTAGAGAAATGCTGAGTGGGAATGTCGTGGAGAGTTTTAGATCTGTGATTCTTAACAACACATTAAAGCATAAAAGTGGATATTGACCTGTTTCTGTTTGCGGTGTGGTTTGAGCGGGGATAGAGACTGTGGGTTGCTCAGGGCAGGGAGGTTGCTGCGATGTGTTTAATTGGTTAGAGGGGGGGAATTGATTGCCGGAGTTAAGAGAGTGGATGCGAGGCCCAGAGGCGGTTCGAGATAAGCTGATAAAGTAGCAGAGGCGGCCTGGGTTAAAACATAACTCTATGCAGGCATGCTGGTGCTTAGATCAGGTCCTAGCTCAGCACGCAGAGCTGCCGCCTGTACGGGGTGTGATCCCGCGGCGGGAGGATGCGGGGGCTGCATCCATCCATCCATCCAGCCACGCTCGGTCTGGCGCCAGGTTCCCCATCTCCCTCCCGACACGCGCTGCACCCGGCCGGCCTCCCGGGGCAGGGGAGCAGCAGCCCTGCCTGCTCTTAGCTCCTAACGCCAGGCTCAGCTGTCCCGGGCACTGCTGGTTAAAGGGCTGCCCCCGCCCAGCCCCTCTCCCCCGTTACCTTCTCGCCGCTGGAGCTGGCAGATCCCCGGGCACAGCCCCGCAGCTGGGGCCGCTCCACGCGATCGCTCCTGGAGCCTGAGAGGGAGATGGGCGGGCCCGCCCGGCTGCCGCTGGACTTCAGTAGATGTTTCCTCCCTCCCCTCTCCTTGAGATTTCCACTTTCCTGATCCCAGTCGGGGACTTCGCCGCTCCCTCTTTCTCCCTGCCAATTCGGGGTGCGTCCCCCTCTCCCCAGTGGGTTACGGGGGGCAGAGAGGAATTCCCATTTCCTGCAGTAGCGATGGAAGCACCCACATCAGACCCAAGGGCTCCCCTCCCTTCAGTCCTACATATACTGTGTAACTGCACTGCACCCACGAGTGTAGGACCCAGGAGTTCAAGGGCACTGCTCACGGTCCCGACCCTACTTCCTGTATTTGGGTTTGTACAGGATGGGGGCCCACAGCAAGGCATGTGAGAAGTGCTTTCTTGTGGCTAAGGGAAAGTCCCCCACCTCACGGGGTAAGGTGCAGAGGGAAAAGTCCGTTCTCTGTCTCTATTGCTAGGGGACTTTTTCCCCCTAGCTAACAGTTGTAGCAAGAAAACCTGGCTGTAGTTTGAAGATGCCACTAATGATAGAAAGAAATGATCCTCACTGCCTAGGGGATAGGTATCTTGTTACTCACACCAGTGCCGGTACCTAAGACCATACAGGTGTAAGTCCTTGTTGTAACTTCACTGACATTCACTGATATTTAAACAAATAAAAACAAAAAGACCCCAAACAAATGCATAATGCAGCCATTCAACTGAATGGAAAAATAACCTTGCCCTAAGTAGAGTTTCTGTGTCCCCAAAAGGGAAAAGACCCCATTAAGACCACTAGGGAACTTGTTATTCCCATCACTGTTTCCCTGCTGAAGGCGTTGTGATATTACAGGGATGGGCAGTGGTAAAAACCCCGAGATAGAGAGCGAGATTAGGAAAGGTTCAAGGAAATCTTTAGCTGTTACCACTCAAGAAAGAGATCTCGGGGTCATTGTGGATAGTTCTCTGAAAACATCCACTCAGTGTGCAGGGGCAGTCAAAAAAGCGAACAGAACGCTGGGAATAATTAAAAAAGTGATAGATAATAGGACAGAAAATATTATGTTGCCTCTATATAAATCCATGGTACGCCCACATGTTGAATACTGTGCGCACATGTGGTCGCCCCATCTCATAAAAGATACATTGGAATTGGAAAAGGTTCAGAAAAGGGCAACAAAAATGGTTAGGGGTATAGAACGGCTTCCGTATGAGGAGAGATTAATAAGACTGAGACTTCTCAGCTTGGAAAAGAGACGACTAAGGGGAGATATGATTGAGGTCTGTAAAATCATGACTGGTGTAGAGAAAGTAAATAAGGAAGTGTTGTTTATAGGGTGACCAGTTGTCCCGATTTTATAGGGACAGTCCCGATTTTGAGGTCTCCTTCTTACATAGGCTCCTATTACGCCTCCCCCCCCCCATCCCCGTCCTGATTTTTCACACTTGCTTTCTGGTCACCCTAGTTATTTACTACTTCTAATAACACAATAACTAGGGGGTCACCAAATGAAATTAATAGGCAGTAGGTTTAAAACAAATAAAAGGAAGTATTTATTCACACAATGCATAATCAACCTGTGGAACTTCTTGCCAGAGGATGTTGTGAAAGCTAAGACCATAACAGGGATCAAAAAAGAACTAGATAAATTCATGGAGGATAGGTCCATCCATGGCTGTTAGCCAGGATGGGCAGAAATGGTGTCCCTAGCCTCTATTTGCCAGAAGCTGGGAATGAGCAACAGGGGATGGATCACTTGATGATTACCTGTTCTGTTCATTTCCTCTGAGGCACCTGGCGCTGGCCACTGTCGGAAGACAGGATACTGGGCTAGATGGACCTTTGGTCTGACCCAGTCTGGCCGTTCTTATGTTCTTTGTTCTTATGAAACCAGATGCAGAAATGTTCTAAAACTGCGGAACTAGGTAAATAGCCTGTCCTAATGCATTTAACAAATGTATAATACAACCACAGGGAACAAATAAAGAGGACGCTTAGAAGGTTTTCAGAGTTGCAAGTCTGGGAACGTGTATCTTTTTTGGAGGAAATGGCATGCCCACATTTTAATGCAGGTGCTGCCTCCTACTCCCAGTGTGACCTGACACAACATAAACGTGCCGTGCTTCAGTTTTCCAATCTGTAAAATGGGGATGGTGGTAATGACCTAGCCCACTGCTATGTTGTGAAGACTTCTTCAATAGTGGGCCAGATTCGTGAGAGGTATGTGCTAAGTCTGATCATTGCTGAGTTTGTTTAACCCACCACCACATAAAGTAGCTCTGTCTGGGCCTGTCAGTATTGCCAACTTTCATGATAACATCATAAGTCTTATGATATTTAGTGTTTTCCTTACAGCTACAGCTCCTGGTGTCAAGTAAAGACAGAATCTTGACTTTCATTTTAAAAGAAAAAGTAAATCTCTAGCCCTCTGTGACTGCATGTGACGGCTAAAGGCTCAAAAACCAGAAGGCAAAGAAAGAACCCACCATGTATTATTATTAATCCCATGATTTTTGGAGGCCTGCCTCCGCGTTTTTGAATCCTTGGGGCTGGCGATGCTGAATAAAAGTGGCGTGTTTAAAACTTGACAACTAACACGTCTTAAAATGCCAATGCAGACAGGGCAGGTTGCATTTTAACATGTGCTAGCTGGGGGTAGCCTATGGTTCACCTTGACCAGCTAACACATGTTGAAATACAATGCGACCGATCTACACTAGAGTTTTAAACATGTTAGCTCTCACGCTTTTCAAACACCCCTTTTATCTTAGCATGTGGACAGGCTCTCTGAAGTACTGGTTAAACTCCCCCAGTACAGGTGGGCTGCTTATTTCCTGAATTGACTGACTTCGTGTGAAAACTTACTGTTGAGTGTGAAGTGAAGAAAGCGCATCAGTTGTGGTAACCACAACAGTGACATAAAAGATTGTTAAAGGAAATAAGGAAAGCCGTGAGCTCCGTGCCCTTCCTGCTCTGTCAAGCAAAGACAAAAATAGAGAAGATCTTTGCAGAGTAAGATCACACTCAGGCATTGACGCCATTTCAGATTTTGGTACGGGGGGGGACAACTTTAACCGTGATTGCAGGGGCTACTTAGGCAACTGAAAACTCTAGGGTTTTTTTTTCAGACAATAACTTAGAAATGATCTCTCTCTCCCTCATATCTCTAATACTCAGCTCTAACACTAACACGTTCTAATATCTTGTGTCATGTCACTTAAGGGACACTGGTTAGGTTTAAAAATTTAAACTATATTCTTACTCTTGAATACAACAATTGTAGAAAAATCTAGCTTACTTTCTATCATTTAGGCCACTTACTTTTGGAAGTTCACCAAGCTTGGAATAGATCATTTAACTCTTGAAAACATCCTACTAGGGTAAGGCCCCGTGAGTTTATACTTGCACCTGCCAGGGGTGTTACCATACTACATATAATAGACCAGAAACTGACTTTAAACAGGAATGAAACCAACACTTTCAAGTTACTTTCACCGTATTGCCAACCCCAAATGTTTAAAAAACATGAGTCAGGCTCACGAAAAATCATGAGACTGGCTTAAAAATCATATTATGTAAAAGTAATAGATTTGGGGTTCTTTTTATTTGCCTTCTGCTTTTTGAGCGTTTAGGGTGCACTGGGGTCACATTGTGAAAGCTTTCTCCACAGCTACAAGGGCCAGAAACTTACTTTTTCTTTAAGAATGAAGGCTGAAATCATCACATCTCCACTTGACTCCAGGAGCTGGGGCCTTAAGGAAAACAATAATTATCATGAGACTCATAACAACATCATGAGAGTTGAAAACACTGCTTTCACTTCTGTTTAAAGACTAGTTACTTTCCTGAAGGGCTCTTAAGAAAAACACTACGGTGGTTGAGTTGCAGTTCTCACAGGAGAATACTTAAAACCAAACACCAAGAAAATTCTACATTTTAAAGTTGAGAAAAATGGAGTCTTATGAGATAAATCAGGGCCACTGCAGGCAGGAAAGGAAAGGAAAATAAACAGGCCCAGGGGCTCAAGAAGAAAGAGCTGTCCAGAAAGAAAGTTGGAGGGTCAAATCTTCCAGTGCTTAATCATTGCCATCAGCGCCTCCACTCATAGATATTAACGTGTTCAATAATTATACGCTTCATACTTAAATATCTTGAGCCACCTTGTCCAGGGCTACACATTTTATACGCATTGGCTCAGGGACTATCTTTTGTGGTATATTCTGAACAGTGCTGAGCGTACAGATGGTGTCAGTGAATAAGAACGGCCATACTGGGTCAACTAGGCATCCTGTGGGGTTTACAGAGCACCTAGCCTTCTAGGCGCTTTTGAAAATCCCACTAGGCACCCCTGCACTTAGCCAGTTCCTGAAGCCCTTACTCAGTTTTCATCTAGTCAGTGCTCAGGTCGCCCTTGTCGACAACTAGCTTCTCTTGATTAAGCTAAATTCAGCAATAGAATTAAACTAAGTTGACATAAGCCTGTTGTAAACCGTTTTAAGAACGTTGCACCAGTTTAACTATATTTAGTTAAAAACCAATTCTGGTTAAGCCAGTGTGCGTAGCCTAGGTTTGATTCTGATCGTCTGTTGACTTCAGTGGAATTTACTCCTTATATGCCCAGGGTGAGCAAGAGGAGAATCAGGCCCAGGGGCTCCAGTGCGGTTGCTCCCGATTCACACTGAGAGCGAATGAGAAAAGAATTCGGCCCAGTGACTCTAATGAGAGGATAGTCCTGAGTGAGGACTTAGGTAAGATATTGAGGACTCATGATTGGGCTCACAGACTTCAATGATCTCGCTGGGGTGGGACTGTCTGCAGAACTGAGGGGCTGGAAGGGAAAACTTCTGAGGCTGCCGAGGGATGGGGCAGGTCCCAGAATTATTCTCTGATTCTTCATTTTAAAAAAAAGGAAGAAAGACTGTGCTTTTTTACAGCATGGTCCGGGACTGCCGTAGCCTTCAGAATAAGATTCAGTGTTTGGGACTAGAACTGTAGACTATAGTAGTGAGATGTTTTCTCACTGGGCGAGGGATACATCAGGGGGTGTGGGAAAAATCTCATCCCTCACAATGGAGTCTCCTGATTCTTTGTCCTTTTCCGCCCTAGTATTATTCCGGATTGTAACTTCTGGTGCCCATAGTGCATGGGGGTGACTCCTTTGGTGCTCTCTCGCCCAGCTTGTCTGGACCATTTTTTATTCCCCACAGTAGCTGGTCTGCCTTGTTTTCTGAAGTCTTATTGCATCCCAAAGAGGAATCACTGACACCTCAGTTCAGGGAGAGTACAAATGGGTTCTGCCCTTATGATAAAAAAAACCAACAACCCCACAACCAAACTAATCAATAAGACCTCACAGTAATGTCTGTAAACATAGAAGTCCTGGTATCAGGTTATGTACCA